CACAACAACATCTGCCTATCCCAGATTCTTGGGAAGGACTAGAGAGGTGCACAAAAAAACTAAGTCCAGCCTAAACATCTGGCTGATCATAATAACATTGTTATTGACAAATTTACTATCAATCAACCCTCAATGAAATTGAGTTTGACACCCCTGCTCTATACAGTTGTGCTTCTGCCTTATGTCTTATACGCAGCCTTATATGATTAATGACACATGCCAAGTTCAATGATAGCCTAAGTGGATTAGGCCCTCACTGCCATCTCTTTCTTCCATCTAACAAGTACACATTTTCTACTAATCTAGGCCACACTTGCTTTACTTCTAGTTTTATTATATTTTTATTGGTCTCTTTGTTATAGTGCTTAAGAAATGCAATGTCTCCTTCAGAGCCCAAAGATTTGGATAAAGCGTTTCCTTAACGCATTCTCCTACTTTAGGTGACTTTGATCGCAACTCATGGGGAAAGGCTCATAAGAACAGGAAGTGGACATGTTCCAGACTGAGACAAAGACAACATGCAGTAGGTTGTCAGCAAACATCCTTAAAGATCTCGGGACAGCTGTTTCTCCACCCTCACAATGATGTAGAAGCCCGCTTTTAAAGGATTTGCATAAATTTGAGAAAACAGCATTTTCAGGGAGAGGAAAAATAAATAAATCAGTTCCTGCCCAGTCACAGACTTGTCCGTAGGCACAGCCAACTAAGGAAGCTCTTCTTATCTCTTGGGATATCTGATGCAAGCTGTTTCTGCGCAAGCCGACTCAATGCAAACAGATGGAAAGAGGAGGATTTTCAAAATAGTCCAGCTTTAAGAAGGGCCACTTCACATGACAAGTTGTTGTTTTTTTTGCAAGCTATGCCCTTTTTTCTTATGCTGGGAAAACAACAACCCTGCATCAGTATAGCTGTTACTTCACTATGTGGGAGCTTTCTAGCATTTCGAAGGTCACAACAGTTATAGAGGACTGAGAAAATATCTACAGACCCCTCACCATCCTGGACATAAACTTCTCCCCTCAAGACCCCGCTGTAGAGCACTGCATGCCAAGACAACCGGACACAAAGACAGTTTTTCCCCCCATGCCATCATTTTGCTAAACACTTAATTCCCACAGCACTGTCTTATGCCCAAGGATATCTAACCATGTGGCAGGACTGTATTACTATAATTCTTCTCACTTTTCCTATTACCTACGCCTATTGTTCTGACCCAAGCCTTGTTCAAATCAAACAAACACGAATTGTTCATAAAAGCAAACCTCTTTTAATGCGGTGCTGTGAATTCAGTGCATTCCCAGCCAAGAAACATTTAAACCTATTTGTCCGGTATCAAAAGCAAGCCCTTTCAAGGTTGCAAAAGGCTGCCAAGAACAGAAGACCAATTACTGATTAAATATTCACCAACAAAAGTTTCAAAAACAAACCAGAATAAGCAGGGCTTCAATGAGGACTCTTGAGTCTAAAGAACTCCTTTGCTTCCTGCAAAGAACACATCCCCAAGGGCTGGTTTTTATCCCTTATGGGAGGGGCCATCACATTCCAGCCTTACTCCCGAGTTGCCCTTGCTGCTTCAGCTGCTTTTTCCTTCGAGCAGCCCTGCATGCAGGCACACTGGGTACAGGCTCCCTGCGGTCCTCTGTATCACTGTTGCCAGACTCCACAAGCTCTGAAGGCAGCTCCCTACTCTTCAATAGTCCTGGCCCCATCGCTGCATCACACTCAGGCCCCTCATCCAAGTCCTCGCTCTTAGAGACCTCAGCCATCCGCACTTGCTGCTGGCAAATCACAACACCTATTGGTATCTTGTGACTATCACTATATTGGTTCTATCTTATGATTTATGACTTATCACTTTGTTGCTTCTGTGTATAGTGAGAGCTTCTGCGCCGGAGACAAATTCCTTGTGTGTCCAATCACACTTTGCCAATAAAGAATATTCTATTCTATTAACGTATGTTCCCATGCAACATATAATAAACACTGTTTTCATGAAATATAAACAATTTAAGTGTATTTATGTCAGGGTTATATATATCCTGCCCCTATGCCCAATGAAACGTGAAGGAAACAGTATCAAGCTGTATATTGAATAGGCTTTGTTATGTTATTGTACAATAATTCAGCTTTGCTTTAATCAGAACCAACCTTTAAGTTTCCACAGACTTATTTTAAAAAGCTCTGAGGACTGGTATGAAGCAATATGATATGTCCAGCTCAGAATCTTATTCAAAGCTGATATGAAGCAAGCCAACATCCAGCTCAGAATCTAATTTAAATTAATTTAAAGTCGAAGCAGCCAATCTGTAGTTCCCATTAAGAGTTGGTTTCAACTCTTTAATACTTAGAAATGTCAAATTCAGGGGTAGAGTTAGAGGGGTGAGCTGGCCCTCATTCCTTGCTAGGTATGCCCTCCCTGCAATATTCATTCTGCATATTTTATTTTTTGTATTTTATCAGGCAATACCTCAGCCGCTATTATGCTGGCTGGAGAATTCTGGGAGTTGAAGTCCACAAGTCTTAAAGTTGCCAAGTTTGGAGACCTCTGGTATGAACTCAGCTTTTGCTCAAGAGCTCTGAAGACAGTGCAGCACCAGGGAGAAAAAGACAGCAGCATCCATTATGTTGTGGTCATGTTCATGTAAGACTTTTCATCAGGGCAATTCAACTAGCAGTTGCATTGGCATTACATGGGGGTGCTATTGATCAAATCCAGTATTTATTTATATGATCAAAGAACAGGAAATCCTCCAAGACAACCTAACCCAAAACAAGGGAATGGGGTCACAGGAAAATGCACATTAACAACACATAAAGTAGAAACAGTCCAATAAACTCAGCAGTTACCATCCTGGGGTAAAATGTTCGTCTGCTGCTATTCATTTAGTCGTTCATACATGGCTGCATTCATCTGATACACTGAATTGGGAGGGTGGGAATCTCCAAGATTAAGCAGTTGCACTGGCATAATGGATAACAGTGGGCCCTATTTATTTAGCGGCACCTATTTATCATTAAGTGTTGTACCTTATGATTCTTGACTCTTGATGAATGTATCTTTTCTTTTATGCATACTGAGAGTATTTACACCAAGACAAATTCCTTGTGTATCCAATCACGCTTGGCCAATAAAGAATTCTATTCTATTATTCTATTCTATTCTATTCTATTCTATTCTATTCTATTCTATTCTATTCTATTCTATTCTATTCTATTCTATTCCCTCATTCATTAAGCCAACACAATGCAGTTAATTGGGGCATGGTTCCTTCTATTGCACAATCCCCAAAAGATAAGTTAATTGGATAACCAAGATTAATCGGGTTGCCTGAATTCCAGGTTCTTCAAACATCTCCTCCTTTAATGTGGCTTAGCTTGCCAGGCCCTAGGGCAGAGTTTCTCAACCTAGGCCATCTGAAGGTGTGTGGACTTCAACTGAATTTTGGGAGGTTGAGAAACACGGAGCTGCAGGAAGATGCTTTGTATGGAGTCCTTGTGCTTGGAAAAAGCTCAGCTTGCACCGTTGCATCCAAGAAACCCTTTCATTTCACAATGGGGCAGGAATGACCACAATATGGCAGGTCGCACAGTCAGACAAATGTTTAGTCTGGATTTGGCATATTTATTCCATCTATTAAGTCCTTCCCAAGGATCTGGGATAAAATATTCTGATCTGATGCTTAAATAATATTAAAGTATTGTTACAGGATCCAAGCTGTTCCAAGTTTTGCAATTCACTTCTCCGATTGACTTTTTACAGTTAATACCATTATGGTTCATTGGACAGTCAGCCAGATGTTTACTGATTTGGCATTTTTTATCCACCTAGTAAGCCCTTCCTAAGGACCTGGGATAGCCAGAAGTTATTAAAAGTATTGTTGCAGAATGTAAGCTGTTCCAGTAAAGCTGCCTTTTGCAATTGATTGATGGTAAATTTGTCAATGACAATGTTATTATGGTTAAGTCAGCCAGACCTCTAGGCTGGATTTAGGTTTTTTGTGTACCTCTCTAGTCCTTTCCAAGAATCTGGGATAGGCAGATGTTGTTGTGTTAAAGGTATCATCATAGGTTGTAAGCAGTTGCAAGTAAAGCTGCTTTTTGCAATTGACTAATGGTGAATTTGCCAATGACAATATCATTATGGTTCATCACACAATCAACCAGATGGTTAGACTGGATTTAGCAATTCTGTACACCATCCAATCCTTCCTTCCCAAGGATCTGGGATAGGCAGATGTGAACTTTTGATGGTGTTAAAGGATGCAAACTGTTCCAAGTGAAGCTGCCTTTTTGCAATTGACCGATGGGGATTCTGTCAATGCCAATTTTTATTACCATTATCATCATTAAGTTAGCCAATGTTCAGACCAGATTTGCCATTTTTATCCACTACTGAGTCCTTCCCTGGGATAGGCAGATGTTCTCTGATGGGATTAAACGCATCCTTACAGAATGTAAACTATTCCAAGTAAATCTGCAACAGATTGACAGTTATCTAATCCACACTGAATGATCCCCATTATTATAGTTTTACACCATTTTTCTAAAATTTAATATTATACATACTATATATATTTATATATATATATATTTAAATATAAACTTTACCCTTACCGTGTGCTTATAAATATATGTATATATATGAAATACCTATATATTTTATATATAAATTCATACATAAAATTTATATATTTAAATTTATATATTTTAAAAAATAAAATATATAATACATTTATATATTTAAATTTATATATTTAAAGACACACATATATATATATATCCCACTCAAGCGGATGAATAGACTGACCACCCACCGCCAGCGCCGCCATCTTACCCGGTCGGGTCCTCCACGGGAACGGTGGGGGGGGCGAGAGTGGGCCAATGGCGAGGCGCGCCGCGGGTCGGGGCGGTCCTTCCGCCGCGTTGCCGTGGCGCCGGCGCGTCCCGCGCTTGCGTAGAGGGCGTCGGGGCGGGGGCGCGCTCCCGCCCGCCCCTGCGGGCCCCTTTAAAGGCAGCGGCGGCGGCCCAGCTGGGGCGTCCCCGTCGCCGCCTCAGGAGCGCCGCCATCATGTACCGCCGCTTGGGAGAGCTGCTGGCGCCCGCCCGCGCTGCCGCTGCTGCCGCCTCTTCATGCCCGCCGTGCGCGGAGCCCTGCGCGGCCTCGGCCTTGCAGCTAGTGCCGCCCGTCGGGGAGCCCCGCCGGGGCTACAGCCAGGCGGTGAGCCGCGAGGAGGCCTCCGAGGACGACCCCAACTTCTTCCGCATGGTGGAGGGCTTTTTCGACCGCGGCGCCGGCATCGTGGAGGACCAGCTGGTGTCCGGGCTGCGCACCCGCGAGAGCGCCGAGGAGAAGCGGCACCGCGTGCGCGGCATCCTGCGCATCATCAAGCCCTGCAACCACGTGCTCAGCGTCTCCTTCCCCATCAAGCGCGACAACGGCGAGTGGGAGGTGGTGGAGGGCTACCGCGCCCAGCACAGCCAGCACCGCACGCCCTGCAAGGGAGGTGAGCGGTTGCCGTTCACACGTGCCCTCGCCGACACGCGTCTGGGAGGGAAGCGGGCGGGCGGGCGCCAAGGATCCCGGGCTCTGCTGGGGCTGCCCTGCGTGCCTTTTCCCGGCAAGGCTTCCCAGACGCGGGACTTTGTGGGGCATCACCGCTTCTCTTGACATAAACACGGGTCTGGTTTAGTTTTCCATACGTGGCTGAGGGGAGTTTCCTTCCCGATCTCTGGGTCTCCTCTGGCTTGTGAGAAAGAGACGGACGCTCCCCTCCCCCTTTGAGGGTTCCAGCCTGACACGCGTGTCCAAGCAGGGGTTTTGTGTAAATCGACTTTATCCCTGCACAACTCCGTTGGGAGAGCGATGGGTTGGCTAACAAATGCAGGCTGAAGACAAAACAACCAGCTTTCCATCCCAGGGCTCTATTGAATTCTTCGGTATATTTGCAATATTCATGCGATATGGAGGGTGGGTGGGTTTCAATTCAGTTGCATAGAAGGCGAAGGAGGTGTGTTTGTGTTTTATTTTTGTAGTTATGATGTACACTGGAGATGGCATTGTATTTCATTGTGCTGGAAGTGCAATGACAGTAAACTAAACTAACGTACAAATTGCTCCACAAACATTAAAAACGCCTTACATGGATATGATAATAAACAGTTCTCCATTGTCATTTTGCTGCAATGTGCGAAGTGTGTGTGTCTGTATATACACACACATATAACACTGACATACTTCTGTAGATTAAATATATCATATATATATGTACACATATACATACATATACTCTGTAGATACAGATAGATTAAATATATTGTGTATATATATTTGTTTTCTTAAGTTTTCGCTGGTATTTATATGCATGGTATTCAGCTTTCTTCGGGTATTTTCCCACGTCATTATAGTTGTGCTTTTAAAGTTGTAGCAGACGAACACAATACAGAAGCCTGATGATGGCAGATGAGATTCTGCCGAAACGTTGCTACAACTTTAAAAGCACAACTATAATGACATGGGAAAATACCAGAACAAAGCTGAATACCATATATATGTATGTATATATATATGTATATGTGGATCTTTGGTTATTCGGGTTTTCTCCCGTGTAAAATTGGAAGTATCTAAGCAACGTTTCGATGAAGTCTCATCATCTTCAGGCTTGTGTCTTCGGCTTTGTGCTTCTCAGAGTAATGTGAGCTTGCAGCTGCTTCTTCTTTTAACTGCTAGTGGGGGTGTGACTTGATTGGGTGGGGGCTTGGCTGTGTTCTGCTTGCGTGGGGGTGTGTTCTGATTGGTTGGGGGTTTGGCTGTGTTCTGATTGGTTGGGGGTTTGGCTGTGTTCTGATTGGCTGGGGGTGTGTTCTGTTCAGGTGGGGGCTTGGTTGTGCTCAGGTTAGTCTTAGTTGCCGGGGGATTTGAGCTGGTGAGCTGTGATCCTGTTGTTTGGCTTTGCATTCGTGGTCGTCTTCATCTTCATGGTGGGCGTCAGTTCGCTTCATGTATGGGTTGGAGTGGTTTGAAGCGGGTAGTGATGCAGCTGCGGTACGGCTTCTGGTCTGTGGTCGTGTCTCATCTGTGTGGGTGTGAGTCTGCTTCCTACGTGGAAGTGTGGTAGCATCTTGTGTGGCCCTCGTGGGTGTGGGTCTGGTGTCATTCTTCATGTTAGGTACTCGTTTGTTAATGAGGGTGGGTTTCCAAATGGCTGGTAGGTGGGAGGTTATCATCTCGTTTATTCATGCTGTGTGGGCGTTTTTCTATCTCTATGGCTTCTCTGATTATTCTGTTGTTGAAGTGTTCGATTTTGGCGATAGTTCTGGTATTTTTAAAGTCAATCTCATGTCCTGTGGCTTTGAGGTGTTGGACCAGGGAAGAGGTCGGTTCTGCATCACTACCCGCTTCAAACCCCTCCAACCCATACATGAAGCGAACTGATGCCCACCATGAAGATGCGGCACGACCACGAACGCGAAGCCAAACAGCAGGATCACAGCTCACCAGCTCAAATCCCCCAGCAACTAAGACTAACCTGAGCACAACCAAGCCCCCACCTGAACAGAACACACCCCCAGCCAATCAGAACACAGCCAAGCCCCCACCCAATCAAGTCACACCCCCACTAGCAGTTAAAAGGAAGAAGCAGCTGCAAGCTCACAAGCACAAAGCCGAAGACACAAGCCTGAAGATGATGAATGAGACTTAATCGAAATGTCGCCTAGATACTTCCAATTTTACACGGGAGAAAACCCGAATAACCAAAGATCCACATACAAATACCCGTGAAAACCTCAGAAAACATATATACACAGACACACACATATACATACACACACACACACACATACTCTCTGTAAATAGGAGGTAGATAGATAGATTAAATATATCCAATATTCTATTCTTGGATGGACAAGGACAATAGCATTCAATTGTTATTGTAGAATATACAGTATTGTCCTGGTTCTTACATTGCTGGAAGTGGTTTTTCTTTCTCCTTTTAGGAATCTGGCCATGCTTGCCCTCCACCCAACCTCCCTTTTAAGGTGAAACTGGCTATTCCCCCACCCCCCACTTTTAAAATGTTGCAAAGTTTGCAAAAACTTTTTTTATTTATCTGACCACATCTCCCTTTTTCAGTGCTGCTCAGATGTGTGGGAATGCTGTGATACTTAACCTGGTATTACAAGTGGAAAGATCTCTTCCAAAAATTGGTCTTGCCAAAATAATGAAAAGCCCGCATCGGTGGCAAACTCCTTGCAACCTTTGCTTGGCCTCCTAGTAAACTTTATCCCCCTCCCCTTTGTGGAATAGTGTAGGGGTTATGTTACTGACATGAATTTTTCAGTTACGAGATAATTTATACGAGTGCATTAGATAGTTGGGAGTGTTTTCATGTCTGGTCTTCATTTGTGACTTTGCTGGCTTGCTTGCTTATATAAAGAAAAGCTTTCCCGTTTGTTTTTGTGATTTTTTTTCAAGATGGAAGTAATGGCTGTGCCAATTTGCCTCCAGACACAGGTCTTCTCTTTCCTGCTTCTTGCATAGATAACATTTCCTACAATCACTGCTTACAATATCCTGATTAACCTTTTTAAACACTTTTTAAACACTTCAGCAGAAGAACAGCGGATAATGGGCCTTGAGTATGGAAGTCACTGTAAGAATAAACCAACAATCAAAGAATCTTATAGCAATTTCCATTAGTTGCTTCCTACTACTATATACCCTGGGATAAGAGAGGGAATTAAAGCTTTAATACTTGAAACAGAATGGCTTTTTTGGTAGTTTGGCTGTTTATTGTGTGACAAAACAGTAAACAAAAAGGCCGGTTGTGCTACTCAGTGGCAACAAGTTTGCCTTTGATGCTCTGTATGGATCCCAAGGGCATACTTGCAAAGAAAAAGGGGTATAGCGCTGCTCTTTGTTTGAACCACCCCACCCTTAAAGGAGGCCAAAGTAAGTTGAGGGTTGGCAGCATTTACCCCTGCAGGCTACCAAGAACATCTTTGGATATTGTATGATTCATCACAGCCATGTTTGTTAGACCTGCATCTCAAGTTTTCTGTAAGAGCTCAAAGGCATCTTCCTCCAGTTCTCCCCAAAACAGCTCTGTAAGTTTGCACTGAGAAAGAGTTAGAGGGAGCTCACTGGGTTTGTGAGAGTTTGTCCCAATCCTAATTCAGCCTCAGGCGCCCTAGACATGCTGTGATGGTTGCAGTTAAAATGAATTGGAAAATCAAGACGTTTATTCATTTATCTTTTTTGTGAAGTCATCGAGTTGTTCATATGTAGTGTACCCGGCAGTTGTTGATTGGTTAAGCACAAAACTGGCCAGAACGGTAAGGGTTGCAAAACATCCTTTCCAGAGTGTTACCTGATTATTTAGATAAGAAAACCTGCACCAAAGGTTAGAAAGGTGCATTTTTATATAATGGAGACATACCTATCCTCTGGAGTTCCTCCCTTTTCTTCCCTGCTTTAGTCCTCCGTGTGATAAACAAGCTTTCTGCAAATTCTGACAATTCCCTGCAGTCCATAGTTCATTCTTGTTTGAGTTTCACAAGGAAAATAAAGTTTCCTGTGGAGTTTTCAGGAGGCTGCCATTCCATAGGTTTGAAAGAGGCTAGGTTGCCCAAAGGCCAATTAATTGCTGGAAATTTGTGTTTTGGATGCTATGTTTTTGTTCGGTTGTTTGATCTTCAGAGAATGAATCAGTAGGTAGAACATTCAGGGCTTATATCAGCATATCAAAGTGTACGTTTTATTTGATCATGAGGTTTACAAAAGAAATGCTGAAGAACCTCCGTGGAATGTTTCAGATGTGAAATTTATGCATCTGGGAAACAGGGCTCTTCATTCTTCAAATATGGGTGGTCCCAGTTCAGCCTGTCCAGATTAGTTTGGATACAAGGTTTAAAAATTCCGTTGTGGCCACTGAAGGATACTGAATAAAATATTTGCTTTGATGTAGACATTTTGTTCTTTAATGTCTACATGGAGTGAAGAACATAGAGTGAAGATAACTTTAGAATCACCGTAGACAAATGCAATATTTTCTTGCAGTTTCTGCCATCCAGACTGGTTTCTTCATGTGCTCTGTTGTAACAATAATCTTGAAATAACTATCGCCACATAATACAATCTCTCCTAAGTTGCTAACAAAGTTCTATGTCCCAATATCATTTTCTAAGAATCATAATATTTTTTCCAAACCTATGTAGGAAAACCAAAATCCGTTTAATATCGATCTCCAAATCCTTGTAACCAAAAAGAAAAGTCTTGCTTGAGGAGCTCCAGTAAATTGGATTGGCTTCTTTGAGTCCTCCAGTGGTGGTAAATAGCAGCAGCTTCCAAGAATCCTATAGATATTTTACATTTTAGTGTAGTGAACTGCATTACTCTCCCATACTGCTCTTAAGGTTGCCAAAGCAGCTTTAGAGTGTTTAAATTATTTGCTTGTGAATGTTTTCTACAAAGAGGGGAACGTTGGGAAAGATAGTAGATTCATAACATGGATATGACATGCCTATGGACGTGCCAACAACAAAGTTGTTGTTTTGGGCTAGGAAATGTTTATAAGACACAAGTGATCCCAGAGAAAAATAGACTCGATGTCAAGTGACAGGGAAATCAAAAGATCCAGGCAGTTCCAATGGATATTAAAGATTTATTGCGAGTTTACGCTCTCTACGAATATCTGAAATGCTATTGGTCAAAACAAATGGGCGGTAGATAAGAGTCAGAGGAATTCAAGGTGTACTGGACTTAGATCGCTTGTGGGCATGAAGGGACTTGAGGCTGATGATGCGTTTGACTCCCCCTCCTTCGGGCTCAGCCTGGTCATCTACATCCACTTGCTCCATGGATTTGCTCCAGTTTTCTTTTTGTTTCCTTAACACCCTCCATATGAAGCTTCTCGGTCATCCAAGTCATGGTTGTCCCAAAGGTGCTTTTTCAAGAGGCAACTGGACTTTCTGTTTTTTTCTTTGAAGACATTTCACTTCTCAACCAAGAATGAGAAGCGAAACGTCTTCAAAGAAAAAACAAAATCCTGTTGCCTCTTGAAAAAGCACCTTTGGGACTTCACACCCTCCCTTTTTCTGTATTTAATTCGTTAATTGCTTTATGTTTATTATCTTTTTAATAAGGCTTGTTGATCATTACAAATTGGGATAAGGTCATCTTCCTTGTCTGTAACATTAAAACTTCACACTAACTTATATATTATCCCTCTTTTACATAATGTGTAAGTAACAGAAGCAATACTAGCAGTTTCTGGTATAGTCCATGGGTTTGACAATAGTGAGACCCCTCTAATATAACAATCTCTTGTGCTGTGGATTTTGAGGTATTGCTTTGATAGGTAAAATTATAAAAGAAAAATTACTGTGTTTTAAAGCTTGATAATCTGTAATAAAGTTTAAAGCTTGAATCCTTGGAATTCCTTTAAATAATTCCATTGGGGTATTGAACTAATTTGAATTGCTGGTCCATGCATCATCATCCCTGTCTTTAGAAAGTGTTTAGAAAGAATGTTGTGTTGAAAAGCCTTGAACAAAGTTGAGATTTTTAGTCAGGAATTCTTGATTACCATACTTTCTGACTTTTGGAAGGATGTCTTGTAAATTAGCAGGAAGCAGGAATCTTATTTCCAAACTTTATTGAGTATTCATTGATAATAAGTTATGACGTAATTTTTTGAAAATTCAGCTACGTGTTCTTTAAACCATAGTAAATAAAACCTGGCATGGCAAGTTTACATTTAGCAAGAAGCAAGAACAAGTATTAAAAGTGGAAATATGAGATAAAAAGTAAACTGCCTTTTGTAGAATCTCTGCGTTCTCATATGTATCAGTGATTTTATTCGGCATATTTATAGTTGATCATTTTAATGTTTTTCTAATGTAAGCTGCCCAAAGTCACTTTGAAATGAGATCGGCAGAAATAAATTTTATAATAAATATAATAAAACATACACATTGTCGTATTGAAAAAGTCTTCTTTGAGAACTCTTGTTCTCAAAGAAGACTTTTTCAATGCGACAATGTATATATTGTATCATAGTAGCAGTGGTGCCCTGGCTGTTTCAGAGTAGATATATTTGCCCCAAATCCCAAGATTGGTTTTTTTGCAGGATTTTTAGAAACTGCTCCAGGCTATTTTGTCACCTGAGAAATATTTTCTATCTGTATTCCAAGTCAACTGGACTAGTAAGGTATATATCTTACTATGCTTCGCTGAATTTGTGGATTTCATTTTTAAACGGCTGTGACTTCTAAGAGCATCTTTATATATGCCATTAAATTAACTTAATAGAAACAGTTTCACCTCCTAAATATTTCTTAAGAACTAAAAAAAACCATTTTCAGTAATGGAAAGAAACAGCAGCAGCATCATGCATAGATTAAAAATACTCAACCCTAATTTTGTAAGGTGTATGGATCTTGGACTTCTTTGCTGGGATGTATATGTTTTTTTCAGGGTATTTTCTCCCTCTCTCTTTCCCTCTCCCTCCTCTAAGCAAAACCGTGCAAACAATTCACAATCAATCATAATACAGTAAACAAATACACTGGTGTGCGTATCAGTTTAATATCTGATAGGTTAACAGTTTGCCTGTGTGATCACGTCCTTAGAGGTTGTGCTTCAGAAGGAACTACTACAGCTGCTCTTATTCATCATATGGACAGCTGTCCAGAGAACTAAAAGTATCCTAACAAGGTACAGGAAACAGGAATGACCTTCTAGTAATGGAGCGTCATATGTTAATCTCTGTGTTTATCCAGACTAACAGAGATACCCAATCTTAAAGGAAGCCATTGTTCCTGTAGAAACAGTCATGTGGAATAAGTAGTCCTGTTGACCTTTTTTTCTTCGCACCTCTGGATCAGCTACTACAGCCTTAAGCCCGATTATAATCGTTGTTTTAGGTCATCTCTGTCATTTGCAAGCATCCTTAATTTTTAAAATCCCTATTAGCTTCTTAATGGTGATTCTTTTCTTCTTTGAGTAGTGCATAAATAAACAAATAAACTAGCGCTTGCTTCATTGTTGCTAAAATAATTTAAAATGTCCAAAGCTGTTTTGTTAAACCTAAACCTACCCAGTGTAAAGAAAGGGAGTCTATGCAATACGTGATGGCTTCAGTTTTGGTTCTTTTTCCTCACTTCCCTTTCTCCATCCCAAAATTGACTCAAGGAACTGGGTATCTTTATCATCCAGGAACAGCCCTATTTAAAAATATATAGTAATTTGGCAATAAAAACCATCTGTTGGCATTTTCTGGCGGGAGGAGTAAGGATTTTACGGGAAATAACTTGAAGCCTGTGGTTTATGCGGTAGCTGATCCCTGTAGATGGCTCCATTATTCGCTATAAAATATAAAAATATTCATTCCATCATATAAGCTTTATTTAAGGAACTTGGGTTTAGCTACTTTTATTACCAAATTGTTTGGATTTATTCCTAATACGGATAGATGAGATCCTTGCTTCACCATGTTTTTGTATCATTAGTCACAAACCGTATTGTATTCACTGTTCACAGAATTATTGGAGTTTGTAAGCAGTTGCTAAATTGTGTGTATGTGTACAGTTTTACCTACAAGTCTTATCTTTTCCAGAAGGGAGTAAGAAATTGAACATTTTTCAGGATTCTTTGGTGATTTTTTTCATTGCTGCTTCAGTACAAAGGAGACGAATCTGTTTTTTGCAGACTGTTAACTTTCTTTTTCGGGTGTGCCAGAGGAAAAGAAAACCCTTAACAAACAACATCTTGTGCCAGTTCCAGTGGAAAGTTTAACCATGGCTGTGAGTCATTTTGTAGTAGGAAGAGGCTTTTATAACAGAAAAGCGAATTGCCTAAGCATTTAGACAAAGTGAAGCAGAATACTGCTAATTTTGGTGCAATTTTTCTTGCATTTTCTAATGGCTGTTTTATTCCATCTCTTGAAATAAAAGGCACAAAAGAACATAACGGAATAACAGAATTGGAAGGGACCCTGGAGGTCTTCTAATCCAACCCCCTGCTGAAGCAAAAACAAAAAACAAAAACCTATTTCATTTTCAGACCAATGGCTGTCCAGTCTCTTCTTTAAAAAAATCCAATAATGAAGCATCCACGACTTCTGGAGACAAGCCCAATAGCAATAAATTTGGAAGGAAATAAAGGAAGATGCACCGAATCTTAACAATACCTTAGCCTCTGAAATAGCTATGAAACTTGGCAATGGAAGAGAATAAATGTAGTTGAACTTCTTGGTACTCCTCTGAGCTTGGTTGTTTACTTGTAGGTGTTTCTTTTTGCAATTATAATAAGTCAGCTTGAATGAAACAGTTTTCCAGACTTAAAGCAGAGTAAAAGATGCATGCGCATAAGTATAGGCCCAATTAATAGGTACATAGTTTTGTTTTCAACGATTAAAGATACATAGTTTTGTTTTCAAGGTTCCTCCTATTTATTCCCAGACGCAAGTGCCCTAATGTTTCCACAATACATTCTCTTATCACGTCTTTTTTTCTTGTGTATAATCAAAGTCTCCATTACATTCAGGAACAATTTCTTAATAGCCTTAAATTTTATAATCCTTGGTTCCTATCAAATGGAGTACATTCCTTTTCTCTTTTCTTTTTTACTGTTAACGGGAAACTTACATTATGTTGTCAAGAGTTCAGTGACCTGCCGTTGCTTTTAAGTGGGTTGGTAGCATTTGCAATGCTTTGTGGCTCCAGCTTGGTAAATTTTAATTATTAAAATAAGAGCGATGAACGAATGGATGTACTCCATTTGAGAGCGACCGTGAACTTGTTCCTTGCTTAGTTGTGGAGGGTTAGGCAACACTAAATAAGAGAGCAGGAAACAGGCTGTCTTAGATTAACGTGCTCCCAGACATGAAATGAGGAAGTGATAGCTTCCTGCACAGCAGACTTTGCAAAATGAAGTTGTTCACTGCAGGCGTTAAAAAAATAATTCATCTCTTTTTCATAAAATACTCGTCTGACCGGACAACACAGAATAAAGCCAGTAGTTGGCCTATACCAGAGAAATCCTATACCTGTATTAGTATGTTTTTTTACATTTTAGTCAAAAGTTCAAAAGCATGCAAAATGCAAGTAGATAAATAGGTACCACTTTGGTGGGAAGGCAACAGGTTCTGTGTGCTCAGCGTATAGTCCTGCTGGTCACATGACCATGGAAGTATTTTCAGACCATGCTAGCTCCCTTGGCTAAGAAATGGAGATGAGCATCCATCCCCTTGAGTCGGGCATGACTGGACAAAGGAAACCTTTTTATAGTTTAAGCAGTTGAATCCAGGATATTGTGGACTTTTTAGCCTGACGTGTTTTAGATCAGTCAGTCAAAACCACTAACTGTTATGAATGGTATGGAGTTGTAGGTTTTGCTGAACATGCACTAATATCATGTATGAATATATATCAAATCTCGTCTTATAAATCCCCCTTGAAGGAACACCCACAACTTCTGAAGGATTTCCATTGATTGATTGCTCTCATTATCAGGAAATTTCTCCTCATGGTTGCCTCCTTGATTTTATTGCTTCTCTGTTCAAGGATCTGAGCTTTTGTTTATATTTCACTAGCTCGATACCTGTGTGCTTCGTTATGAAACTATGTGGTCGGGCTTAGTTTTTGAGGAGGAAAATAAGAGGGGGAAATTCTGTCTCTGCCTACCAGCATCCATCGGTATCCATCTGGCTAGCATCCTGTCAGTGTGTGAGAGAGTTGAGGGCTGTTTGGAAACCAAAATAGTATTTGCTGAGTGAATAAGGAAGAAGACAGCAAGGAGCCTGGGCGTGGCTTAGCTCAACTGTTCTGTACTAAACCTGCTTGGTGCTCTGAAACTGAAACTCCTCTGCTTGTGTTTTGCATTTGGAAGAGATTTCTTTTCAGGTTGGGAGGGGGAGTAGAACTCCTTAGCATCAGAGCATGTTAATAATAATAATAATATCGGAAATACTAATGCTCTGATGGTCATTTCAAAAAATCCTTTCTTAACGAGCACTTAGAAGCGAAGAGGAACATACGTGCCAAATTTCAAGTTTGTAGGCTTTACGGTTCTACCGTGTTTCTCCAACAATATGCCCCCCCCCCCCAGGAAGACCCAGTTTGTTTTCTAGGCATAAAATGAAATTAAGCCCCTAGTTTAAAACATGCGAAATTGGGGGGGGAAGGCGGGGGGAACTTGCCATTAGGAGTGCCCCCCCGGGCAGCTACGCCTCACCATCAGCCGCTCCTAACAGCCAATCATGGTGGAGCACTGAGGGCTCCCTTACCCCTCCCTTACCCGGGTCAGCAGGCAGGCGGCGGCGGTGTGGATGTCCAGCAGCGTTTTAGCCGCTTCTCAGGCCTCTGTAGCTTCCACGGTTCCCACCGGTGCTGGCACCTCTCTCGCCAGCGCCGTCTCCAACAACAGCGTCTGAGTCGCTCCCGCTTTTCCCCTGTAACAACAGGGAAAAGAAAAAGATTTTGAGGTACCTGGGAGCGCCGCGCGATGCGTTTTGATTTAATCCCGAGTGGCTGGGTGGGCGTGAGAAGAGCCAAGCGAGCGTCTCTGCTGCTGCTACCCTTGATGCTCCAGCCTCGGGCTCTGCAAGTTTGCAAAAATTCCGATGCAGCAGCCCGTTCTTGCATTCCAAGCGCCCAGGCCGAGTTGCAGCTGTCCCTCTCTCGCCAGCACCGTCCCCAATAACAGCGTCCCGGTGCGCAGCCCGTTCCTGCATTCCAAGCGCCCAGGCCGAGCTGCAGCTGTCCCTCTCTCGCCAGCGCCGTCTCCAATAACAGCGGCAGCAGCGGCGGGAACCGTGGAAGCATTTCAGCCGCTTCTCGGGTGGGGGAGCCGCCTCCATAACTTCCACGG